AAAGTAATATGGAAATCAAAATGATGTGTTAAAGTGTCTGATAAAAAATCTTTAGGATAAAGACATGTAATGATTGATTATAACACAAAATGGAAATATGAAACCTTAAAACTGAAAAACGTCCAGAGTAGTCACACTGCACAAAGTAATATGGAAATCAAAATGATGTGTTAAAGTGTCTGATAAAAAATCTTTAGGATAAAGACATGTAATGATTGATTATAACACAAAATGGAAATATACCAAAATTAACATTTTAAAAGCAAAATAGCATTCACAAAGATTCTTTAACTCTCTCAGCTATAGACAAGACAGATTTGACTGAGTTCATGACTGCAAAGTGACTATCATAGTTTCAATACTACAACTATGTTTTGTATATCTTCACGAAATTTTAAGATTAAATTTAACATTAAAAGACTTTTGTAGATAAAAAAATAAGGATTTTTAATGAATTATTTTTACTAAAAAGTTCTCTGTGAATGTATGGAGTTCAAAGTGTTGACTACTCCAAAGTGATTTTCATGTTAAGTTTAACGTTATTTTATTCATTTGACAATTGTTAATTTTTATTTAGAGATTATTCAAATGAAAATTAAAAAATTTCAGATGAAGAAAATAATTTTAAATAAATAATTCCAAATAAATATCAAACATTTTCTTTCAGTAAAACTGCATTGGGTCAATTTGACCAACCTCATAACCAGAATAAAAAATATGAAATAAATCTAAATTACTTTTTTTTTCTAGAATCACTTCACACTGTAACATGAAACTACATTCATTTATCCTAAGTAGCTTTAAACTCATAACAATATACATCTATTTATATTTAAATTTCATTGTTTTAATGCCCTTTGATCCATGTCTAACTACTACTATTCATGCCATTATACGTTGTAAATCACTTGGGGAATGTGTAGCTCACATTACACTATCGAATTACATTACCCACAAGCTACTCCAAGCTGCTCACGTGTGTGCCTCATGAAACATTTACACAGCGTGGTCACAAGTAAATAGACACTACCTTTTCAGAAAAAATGAAATTTTTCAGTCATATTCACATGAATTGATATATTTATAATTTAATTAATATCTTCCTTTCGCTTCGTGGAGTTCGTTGATCCTTTGGGGCATTGTGAGAATCATCTCGTCAATTTTAGATTGTGCGATTTTCACCCACTCTTGCTTCAAAACTTGGAGTAGATCGCTCTACGAAGTTGGTTTTTTGGTTGTTTCTTGACTTGCCAGTCGAGTATGGCCCAGAGGTTTTCGATGGGGTTCATGTCAGGAGATTGGCTCGGCCAGGACAACTTCTGGATATCATTTTCTTCCTGCCACTTTTGGGCATTTCTATCAGTGTGACACGGTGCTCCATGTTCCTGGACCAGGACGACCCGGACGCTGCTCAGTTGTTTCCTTGCCGTGTTTCCTGAACTGCACGATGATTCCGTTGACTGTCGAAAGCGGGATTCCCAAATTCTGCGAAATTTGCCGCTGACTTATTCCACCATCTGCTTGACCAACTATCGTTCCTCTATCAAAATCTGACAATTCGAGAAAACCTTGAGTTCTAGGCATGTTGTTGCACAACCTAACTAATG